GAACAAGATTAATATAGAGCATTAGGTTATGAAGTTGGAACACATAATATTTCAACTGAATATCCATGAATATTCATCTCCCAGAAATTCTAATCTGTCTATACTATTACAGATAGACTTGGCAAATATAAGGCATGGTTATGCAGAAACCATCCCCTCCCACTTAGTCAGTGGCAGACATAACTAATCATTCACATCATCCTCACTCCAGGGGCAAATTGTTCATCATCCTCAGTCGACAGAGGAAGGGCAGTGCGGAGAGAAAAAGAGGAGGACTTTAATACAACTCTGCTAGGGTAGGCAGAAAGTGCTTTGCACGTGCCTGAGAGGATAGTAGTGACTCCATGGAGGTCATAGGAGTTGAGATGGCCCAGGAAGGGCTTCACTGCTGTCCTCAGATAGGTGGTAATGCTGGTATTATAATTTGGAACGTGCTGTGTATTATGTTTTTGTTAGGTGCCATTGAGTCATTTCCAACTCATAGTGACCCTATGTACAACAGAACAAAATACTGCCCAGTCTTGAACCATCCTCATAATCTTTGCTCTGCTTAAGCCCATTGTTAGCCAGTGTGTCAATCCATGTAGTTGAGGATGTTCCCCTTTTTTTTTGATGACTTTCTACTTTACCAAGCATGGTATCCTCCTGATAGCATGACCAAAGTATGAGAGACAAAGTCTGGCCATTCTTGGTTCTAAGAAGGATTCCAGATGAACTTCTTCCAAGACAGATTTGTTCATTCTTTCTGACAATCTATGGTATATTCAATATTCTCTGCCAACACCACAATTCAAATGCACCAACTCTTACATATTCCTTATTCAATGTCCAGCTTTCACATGCTTATGAGGCAATTGAGAAGACAATGGATTGGGCCAGAGCACCTTAGTCTTCAAAGTGATGTCTATGCTCTTTAGTACTTTCATGAGGTTTTTACAGTTTATTTGTTCAATGCAATACATTCCTTTGCATTCTTGATCGCTGCTTCCATGTGTGTTGATTGTGGATCCAAGTAAAATGACATCCTTGAGAAATTCTCTTTTTTCCATTTATCGTGATGTTACTTATTGATCTGGTTGTGAGAATTTTTGTTTTCTTTATGTTGAGGTGTAATTCATACTGAAGGCTGTAGGCTTTGATCTTCATCACCAAGTGCTTCAAGTCCTCTTCACTTTCAGTAAGCAAGGTTGTGTCATCTGTGAATGGGTCTTCCTCCAATTGAATAAGTATGGTGAAAGGATACAATCCATAGTGCACATCTTTCTTGATTTAAAACAATGTAGTATCCCCTTGTTCCATTCAAATGACAGCCTCTTGGTCTGTGTACAGGTTCCTCATGAGCACAATGAAATGTTCCGGAATTTCCATTCTTTTCAATCTTACCCATAATATGTCATGATCCACACAGTTGAACACTTTTGCATAGTTGATAAAACACAGGTAAACATCTTTCTGATATTCTTTACTTTCACCCAAGATCCATCTGACATTAACTATGATATCCCTCATTCCATGTCCTCTTCTGAAACTGGCTTGAGTTTCTGACAGTTCCTTGTACAGGTACTGCTGCACCTGTTGTGTATTGTACCAAAAAAAAAAAAACCCAAACTCACTGCCGTCGAGTTGGATCCAACTCATAGAGACCCCTCCTTGGGTTTCTGAGGCAATATCTCTATGGAAATAGATTGCCTAGTCTTCCTTCTGAGGAGTGGCTGGTGGGTTTGAACTGCAAGTCTTCTGATTAGCAGTCAAATGTCTCAGGCACTATGCCACCAGAACTCCCATTGTGTATTGTACGATATCACAAATAAGTAAATATGTTAATGCTATTAAAAACTATTAATTTTTAATTAGAAATATCAATATGAACTCATGATTTTTAAAATATCAGTTACCTACTTCTGCCCACTGAGTGGGCATAGAACCTATGGCACTCTAGTGGTATTGAGCACCCTCAACTTTAAAAAAAAATGGGGCTCCTTGGAGAAATGCTTAATTCCAGATCTGGGCCAGGAAAAGTATAAGAGGAGCCTGAGACACTTGTGTTAGAAAGCAAGGAAATGCCATGATTAATAGAGACACAGGAACAAGCTAAATGACACCATGGGGGAAAAAAATCAGACAGATCCATAATATAGGACATTTTGCTGGCCTGGTATCTTTAAAATAAAAATGAAGGGAATGTTCTAGATTAAAAGAAACAAAAGAAACATAATAACTAAATGCAATGTATGAACTTTACATCCTGGTTCTATATAAAAAAAAAAATTAAACATTTAGAGACAATTGGGAGATTTGAATTTGGACTGAGTTTTAGGTGATATTAGGGAGCTACTCTGGTAGCATAGAGCCTAAAGCACTTGACTGCTAACCAGAAGGCTGGCGGTCAAAACCAACAACCAACCCCCCGAAAGAAAGATGGGCAAACCAACTTCCATAGTGATACTGCCTCGGAAACCCAAGGAGGGGTCACTATGAGTCGGGTCCGACTCGACAGCACATAACACAATATAAAGGAACTACTGCTAATTTTGAAAATAATATTGTAGTTATGAGGAGAACATCTTATTTTAGGAGATGCTTCCTAAAGTGTCTAAGCATCGTGGTAGTTAAAGCAAATGAAATATTAACAACTGTTGAATAAAAATAGTATGTATATAGGTTTTTTTTTTGGGGGGGGGGAGCTCTGGTAGCATAGTGGCTAAGGCACTTGACTGCTAACCAGAAGGCTGGCGGTTCAAACCCACCAGCCACTCCTCGGAAGGAAGATGGGGCAGTCTACTCTGTAGTGATACCGCCTCAGAAACCCAAGGCGGGGTCTCTATGAGTTGGATCCGACTCGACAGCAGTGTTTGGTTTTTTGGGGGGTTTTAGGTTCTTATTATAATATTCTTTTAATGTTTTATGTTTTTGAAATTTTTCATAGTAAAAAGTTGCAGAAAAAAACTGAGAAGGAGCTCTACTTTTCAGATATTGAAAGATCTCCAGGGTAATTTGTCGAGTGAACAAAGCAAAGTACAGATCAGGATAGTTGGTGTCTAAGGGTGGTATAAATAAGGAAATATTGTATATTCATATCAAGAAGTCCCTGGAAGGAGACAAGATGCACTATGAGTAGAATTTAGAAGATAGGTGAATGAGGGAGGACAAGGATGGAGGAGGGTGAAAATAACTAAATATATACCTTTTTTATTCCATTCTGACATTTAAAATGAAAATGAATGAATGAATGAATGACAGAGGTCTGCCAGGGAAAGGAGACTAAGAAAAAGCAGTCAGAAATGTAGAAAGAACCAAGGAAGTTAGAAGGCCATTGGCTTTGGTCAACAGGGGCCAATGGTGAATGACTCAGCTGAGGAGTGAGGCAGGACCTCACCAAAGAAAGAGCGTTGGGACAAGGTAGATGAGGGCTTTCAAGAGCGTAGATCACTCTTAAACGGGAAAGGGAGAATGAAGATGATTGGATGAGTGGAGGATAGAGAGAGGGATTCTTCAGGAGAGGGGGAATGAGACAAAGATGGAGCCAGTAGAGAGTGAGAGAGTAGAAGACAAGAGCTGGGCTATGAGTGCTTAGAATGAGGAACAATGGACCTTGTTAAAGGACATTTTGGAAGTGAGGGAGAAGGTCAAGGAAGATTGTGTTGGGTGGTCCCCCTATTAGAAAGATAATATTATTTACTCAAAATCATGAGTTGTGTGCAAGCTTCAGTAGAATTGAGACATTGGGAAGAGATGCTGAGATGAATTTGACAACCAAGTATGTGCGGAGAGGTTCCAGTGTTTCCTGGCTTAAATGTTCATGTTCACCCAGTCTTGGGATGATACCATCAGACAATCAGAGTAGAGAGGGAAGCATGATGGGGTTAGTCCAAAGTGGAAGATGTTCAAGGTCAAAAATCAGAGAAGCAAGGGAATTCAGGGTGCCACTGAGAAGATGGTAGAACTGGATAGAGTGGTCAGAGAGCATGGGGGCTTGAGGTCCAGGTAGGGGTCAAAGGACAGGGCAGTAGGAAGCACAGGAGCTTATGGCCATGCAGAGCATTTTAAAGTTTGTGGCCTGGGCAGTCAGTCAGGTCTAGGCAATGACACTCTTCTTATCTGAAGAATGAATGTCATTATCTTAACAGTATCCTCAAAGATGGGGTGTCAGGCTTAATGAATAGCCTTTCAGGATCTCAGCAGGAGAGGTTTGGAACAGAGATGCTCTTGCTGTGTGGCCCCAGCTCTCTGTGAGTTCTTTCTTTTTGCAGCTTCAAGCCCTCCCATCAGCTGCTCTCAGCCAGCACACGGAAGCAGCGCCAGCTCCTGGTTTCTATAGTGACCGATGCACTTCAAAGGGAGAAGTAGAAGGACTTGAAGGAAATAACAAAGGGGAAACGAACAGCACAGATATTTAACACATAAAGAATCCAGGCAGGATGTAATGACCTAGTTTTATAGCCATTGGGACCATTTCTGGCACTCACACTTGACTATTTGATTTTTTTGTCATAGTTTTGTCAACTAGAGCTGTAAAGGGAGGTGACATAATGCAGCACTGTTCCTGGTGAAAGGCTAATACTGAAACTTGTGAGGATCAAATTGCTAGCTAGGAAGACCCAGGAAAATCCTGAGCCTCACTGCTCTGATCTCAGGCCCCTTTGATCTCAGTGCCTGCCACCATCATCACCTTCCTAGAGAAGACTGCAGAGAAAGCATCACGGCTATGGGCAAGGCCTTTGCAGTGGATACTTCCTGGTTAGCACTTCCTAGCTGTGTGATATTGGGGAGCTTCCTTAACCACTCTGTGCCCCAATGTCTTAATCTGTAACATGGGGACAAGTCTGACTTTCAAGTATGGGTGGTGAAGGATGGGATTTGTGAGTTGACACAGTCCAAGCCTGGCTGATTGGAGGGCCTCAGTAAAGAGCAGCTGGTCATTCTAATGAGAAGCCACTGGCTTGAGCAGGGCCAACACCCTGTAATGCTGTCCTTCATGCTTTTCTTCCATTCCCTTCCAGTTGGCCATGGACAGAGCGAAGGGGAGAGGATGGTGGTGTCTGACTTCCACGTTTTTGTCAGGGATGTGCTGCAGCATGTGGATGTTGTGCAGAAAGACTACCCCAAGCTTCCTGTCTTCCTTCTGGGCCACTCCATGGTAAGCCGACCACAGAGGACCCAGCTCCACTCGGGACTACTCAGTGTGCAAGGTGGGGGTGTGAAGCACCATTGATGGGTGGGGGGCCAGAGCCCTTTGTCCCCCACATTGGAGTTCCCAGACAATTTAGTGTTTAGGAAGTCAGCCAGGTTTAGGCTCTGAAGACAGGCCTGGAGGGAGCCAGAGCAGAGCCTATTCATTCCCCAGAGTTCCCGCCAAAACCGGCCAGCAAAGCCTCACTGAGGTACTCGCAGGCTGACTAGGAAACTGATTCTTTTCAACTCCTTTGGCCCCCGGGGCTATTTCTTCATGTGATTGCTAAGGGAACTTCTGCTTCCTACAGTGGCACTTCTCTGGAGAAAGGGCTGCTCCTGGTTAGTGAGAGGCCCACGGACTGCCAAAGCCCTTCCTTCTTGTTCAGGATTGTTCAGGAACTGGGGACAAAAGGGCCCTTGTGGAAACAATTCCTTAAATTTATTTGAAATCCTTTTTTCACCTCTTAGATGTATAAAATCCTCTAAGAATCAACCAAGTATAATCTTTAAATTGTGGTCCTCAGCTGACAACCCTAGGCTGACTCCCTATGGAGACCCTGAGACCCATCAGTATTTTTAACCTCTTGAATTTGAATGCCTGGAAACTGCTCACTGAGGCACACCTCACGACCCCTTGATTAGAGCCTGCTAGGTTCATGGAAGGAGCTCTGGTAGCATAGTGGCTAAGGCACTTGACTGCTAACCAGAAGGCTGGAGGTTCAAACCCACCAGCCACTCCTCGGAAGGAAGGTTGGGCATTCCTACTTCCATTGTGATACTGCCTCGGAAACCCAAGGAGGGGTCGCTATGAGTCAGGGCCAACTCAATGGCAAACAACAGGTTCATGGAATCCCTGGGTGGTACAAACATTCTCAACTTCTAACTAAAAGGTTGAAGATCTGAGTTCAAACCTCTGAAGAAAAGTGCCTCTGAAGAAAGGCCTGGTGACCTACTTCCAAAAAGTCAGCCATTGACAATTCTATGGAGCACAGTTCTACTCTGACACACATGGAGTCACCAACAGTTGGAATCAACTCCATGAGAAATGTTTTTGTTTGTTTGTTTGTTTTGTTTTTCCCTTGTTTGGCTTGGTTTATACTTGCCTGACCCTGTAAGTACTTAAGACTTAAGCTCTTGGGTTAAACTCCCTTCCAGCTTAAGCAAAGAGTTAGCCCTGTTCCTTCAGTATCGTCTAAGTTCATTAAGTATTTTTCTTGGAACCTAAATTTCTGGGATCTTTACTGAACCAGAAAATATGTAGTAGTCTCTTCTTATGATCAGATTACCAAAAAGCCTTTCATGATGCCTGATGGAATGAATGAATTGGGGGTCTGCCAGCTTTTGGCTTGAAATGAAGCAGGAATGTGTTGTTATTTAACTTGCGGCCCACAAGCAGGAACCTTATTTATATCTCTCTGAAATGTCTGCTCTTGGAAAACCCAGAGAAAAAACATTTGTAATGAAATAATTGCAGTTCTAGTTTATCCAACAGTTGATAGTTTCCTTTCCAAGGTAGACTCTTCAAGGCTCCCGGCCAGGCCTGCAGCCTCAGGGCTCTATCATTAATTGTGACATTAGAGATGCTCGTGGGGTGTGGCTTGCATTAGCGCTGCTGCTTTCCCTTTCAGGGAGGTGCCATCGTTATCCTTACAGCCGCAGACAGACCAGGCCACTTCTCTGGCATGGTTCTCATCTCTCCCTTGGTTCTTGCCAATCCAGAGTCAGCAACAACTTTCAAGGTAAGAGAGCTTCTGGTTCTGTGGAACTCTGTCGGATCCCTTAGGGGCCTCGGAGCCTGCATTTATGGCTAGAATTTGGGTAAAAGGGCCAAAGTCCATTCTTTGACGTCAAGCTCTATTGTGGTAAAATTGGGTCAAATATCAAACATTGTGGTGCCTAGGGCACTTGACTGCTAACCAGAAGGCTGGCTGTTCAAACCCACCAGCCACTCCTCAGAAGGAAGGTTGGGCAGTCTACTTCTATAGTGATACTGCCTTGGCAACCCAAGGAGGGGTCCCTACGAGTCGACGGCACACAACAACAACATCAAACATTGTTGCCACCAGAGTTCAGTCATTTCTGAAGTCAGATGCATTTGTTTTGTTTTGTTTTTTCCCTCCCAAAGACAGAAAAAAATTTATTTCCTGTTTGTGCATGTTTTATTGGTGAATTTTAATAGGAAGAAAGGTTACACATGTTATTAATCCTGCAAAGTACCCTTTTGTTAAGAAGTCAGATGCAAAGCTTGAGCTGTTTTTCATTGAACATCTGCCAACTTCAGCAAAAAATGAATAATGAGTGGAATTCAAGGCAATTTGTAATTGCAGCAGAGTCCCTTTGAGTTGTAGTCTTCTCCCCAAGCACTTTCACCTCTGACACATCATTTTGTTTCCCTGTTGCACAACCACACATATGAGTGGAACATGCTATCAGCTACTTTAAGACAAGCAAGCCAACAAACAACTAGAAACAGATCCAGTGTCTTCTCTCCTTTGGAAAGAAGCTAAAAACTGTGGCCTCAGCAAGACCCTTAGCAATGACTAATATAGGTCAGTGGCATGTTGAGATAAACCAGTGGGAAGGACAATCCCAACTTCTGTGTCCCCAGGGGTGCCCATCCTCACTCAAATGCTGGGCCAGGGGTTCAGATTGATTCTGCTGCTCCAAAGCCAGTTCTTGGGCCTCACAGGGAGATCCTAAGGGGGATGTCGTGGTGCCATGTGCACTGGGCAGCAACCACTCTAGGGTGCTTACTTTTTCTGACCTTGTCTCACATGACAGTATGACTTTTAAAATAATAACATTAACTCTTAAGCCTACAATATTTTTCTCAGGACTCAAACTGTGGGACACCTTGTTTAAAATATCCTAAAAGTATCTCCTACAGACAGAAGCACACACTTGATCCTGGGCTCTAAAGGCAGGTGTGATGATGAGGGTCTTGAGTGTGGGCTTTCATCAGGTGCATCAAATCTCACCAATCTGGAATGGATTGGGGCTGGTAAAAGAGAACCCTGGATCCTCTCCGAGAGTTTAAGCAGAAATAATTTTTTATTTAGTTGGTTAAAGAATAGAGATGGATAGCACCTTTGAATTTTACTCCATGATAAGGAAGTCACCACTGACTTCCTGAAACCATCCTATCATCATTGGTAAACTTCAGTGCTATGCAGAGGGCAGCAGTAGAGGCCATGGCTAGGTGTCTCTGCCATGGAATAATGAGGGCCCCTCACAGTCAAAATTGTACTCATCAAATGGGCTAGGAGAAGATGACTTACCCAACTTTTCCCATACTGATTGCCATTATATAACATAAGGCTATTTCTCATCTGAGCAGAATGAGTAAAACAAGACTCCTAAAAGAAAAGGGAGTTATCACTGTGCTCCCCTGTGCTTTAATTTATGAACAGTTAATAAGTTCAGTGAGTGGCAGGCAGCTCTCTGCCTTCCTGTGCATTCACTCACTTGACTGCCAGTGTCACTCAAAGAATGGGTTGCATTTTACAGATGCATTTTACCTGCATTTATGGAAAACTGAGGCTTAGGAAGGAGGAGTGATTTGGCAGGATCCTACAATTTATAGGATGGGTTTGCATCCAAGCTGCTCCTCCCCTTCTGAGATGCCTTTTCATGAAAGAAAAGCCAGGGACCAGGGGTCTTTCAGATAAAGTAGGAGAGAGTCAGGTAGCTGGACATGGAGCTGGAGCAGCAGAGTTTCCTCCCAGAGTCCTTTGGGGTGTCTGTGCTAATGGGTGGCCATGTAACTCTGAGCCAGGCCATTGGGGTGACCTTTCAAAGACTTGTGCTAATAGATTGCCTTGTTGATCCAAGAGCCAGCTGTCTCTGGGGGAATGCAAGTCTACACTTATTAGCAAAGACAAATTAGATAACCTTGGCCCAGACCTCAAAGACCCATCCTCCCCACCCTGACATCTGTTGCTGCCCATGAATCTTCGGCAGTTTTGACTGACAGAGCCTATGACCCATTTGTGTACCTTGCCCCAGATGACCTCATCATCCTCTGCACTCTTTCTAGTCTTATCTATCAGCCTCCCTGAAAGACCCTCACGGAATCTTTTTAAAAATTTAATGTAAACTTTTAAGAATAATACATTTATAGGGTTTGAAATTCAAAAGGTATTAAAGGGTGTACAGTGAAAAGTCTCCCTCCTTCGTTCAAAGTGGGCAGCCACTTGTTTCTTGATCATCCTTCCAGAGAGAATTTATACTTCTACAATCAATACACATTGTTATGGATTGCACGTGTCCCAAAAAATAAATAAATAAACGTGTTTTAAATCCTAACCTCTTTGGCTATGGCTACAATCCTATTTGGGAATAGGCTGTCTTTGTTATGGTCATGAGGCAGGATTTAGTGTAGAGTATATTTTGAGTTAATCTCTAATGAGATATAAAAAGGAGCAGATTAGGACACACAAGCAAGGAGAGATGGAGGAAGAGAGAAGCTGTGCCATATGAAGATCACTCAAGGAGACAAGGACCTTCCTCAAGAGCCGACAGAGAAAGAAAGCCTTCCCGTAGAGCCAGCACCCTGGATTCAGGCTTCTACCCTCCTGCACTGTGAGAAAATAAATTTCTGTTTGTTAAAGCCACTATTTGTGGTATTTCTATTTCTATTATAGTAGCACTAGATAACTAAGACATACATGTGTTCCTCATATTTCTATTTTTATACAAATGGGAGCATGCACTTTGCTTTTACATTTTTGGTTTGTTTCTTCTTGTGGGGGTTTTGTTTTGTTGTTTTGCTTAGCAGTGTATCTTGGTGCTTGTGTGTCACATCAAGGTTCCACTGTACAGGTAGATCATGGTTTCGGTGAGGTTCCCTGCTGACCAACCTTGGGATATTTCCAATTGTCTACTCCCACAAACATCCCAGAGGGAAAGATGTTTACAGATGCCTCTTTCCTCTTGTTCTAATGGATGAGAAAGCTAAGGCTCAGAAGGGGGACGACAAAGCAGAATGTTGAATCCTGATCTCCTGACTGTGTCCAGTTGGCCAGATCGTTCAAGTTTGTTTTACAGCTTTGAGTACGTGCAAGAGCAGTTCCCCCAATTATTCAATGGGCAGCATGAGATACCCAATGTGGAAACTGGCCTTATACTAACCAAAGTGACCTGTAAATTCAACACAATCCTGATCAAAATTCCAACAAACTCCTTTACAAAAATAGAAAAACCAATCCTCAATTTTATATGAAATGGCAAGAGGCCCTAAATACCTAAAGCAATGTTGAAAGAGAAGTAGAAATTGGGAGGACTCACTTTCTGATTTTAAAACATACTATACAGTATGCTAAGGAGCTCTGATAGCATAGTGCCTAAGGCACTTGACTGCTAACCAGAAGGCTGGAGGTTCAAACCCACCAGCCACTCCCCGGAAGGAAGATGGGGCAATCTACTGCCGTAGTGATACTGCCTCAGAAACCCAAGGAGAGGTCGCTATGAGTTGGGTCCAACTCGACGGCACATAACAACAACAACAACACAAATACAGAGCTCTGGTAGCATAGTGGCTAAAGCACTTGACTGCTAACCAGAAGGCTGGCAGTTCAAACCCACCAGTCACTCCTCGGAAGGAAGGTTGGGCAATCTGTTTCCGTAGTGATACTGCCTTGGAAACCCAAGGAGAGGTTGCTATGAGTTGGGTCCGACTCGACGGCACATAACAACAATAACAACAACAGGATAGCTAAGATTAAAATAATAAAAATAATAACAAAGGTTGACAATGATGTGGGGAATCTTTATCCATTGCTGGTGGGAATACAAAATGGTGCAGCTATTGTGGAAAACAGTGTGACAGTTCCTAAAAAAAAAAAAAATTTCAGACTCTCATATGACCCAGCAATTCCACTCCTAGGTATAGACCCAAAAGATCTGAAAGCAGAGACTCAAACAGACTTGTACACCAGTATTCATTGCAGCGCTATTCACGATAGACAAAAGATAGAATCAACCTAATTGCTCATCAACAGATAAATGGATAAACAAAATGTTATACATGAGTACAATGGAATATTAATCAGCCAGGAGTAGAAATGAAGTCTTCATACATGCTACAATATGGATGGAGCTGGAAGGCATTATACTGAGTGAAATACATTAATCACAAAAGGACAAATATTGTATGATCTCACATAAAAAGACAAAAAAAGACAAATGTATAAAGAATAAAGTTTATTAGGGTTAATGGGGTGGAAGGGAGGGAAAAGAGGGGATTAGTGGTGATGGAATTACTGCATTGATTAAGAGTAGGATTGCACAGCCTATTATTGTAATTACTGTCAATACATTGTATACCTGTAAAAAGTTGAATTGGGAAGAGTTGTGTGCTGGATATATTTACAACAATGACAAAAAAAAAAAAAAAAAAGGAGTGAGGTTGCTTATGTACAAAAACCAAAAAACTCATGGGATTTGGTTTCTTGATTTGGAGGTTCAGGGTCATGGTTACGTGAGATATCCTAGTTAATTGTCTTAATAACATGTTTAGTGCTTCTGTTCTACCACCTAGTTTGTTTTATAGTGCCTAGCATCTTAAAAGCTTGTAAGTGGCCATCCAAGGCACAACAATTTGTCCCTATTCAGCTGGAAAAACAGAAAGAAGGAGCATCAGGAATAGAAGTAGAGTATAGAATGTGTGGCTAATTGCCATATGTACAATTACCTCCTTTGCCCTAAGACCAGAACTGTATGGTGCCCAGGCAACATTACT